TAGCCAAGTAGGACTACTGTCCCCTACTGAATCTGATCTTGCTGTTGTCTCTGTGTGAATAAAGGATTGCCCCATTCAGTGCATGGTTGCACTATATTTTCCTTGGAGAGGAATACCAAGATATATTGGGCAAAAGTGCTTGAAATTTTTCCAATACCAGGCAACAGATGTTACTCACTTCAGAATTTCTTTGTGTCTTCTATTGCTTTGCTGAAACTTCCTCTAATGAAACATTGTAGCTTTTCATCACTTCAAGTGGGTTTGCAATTACTCATTGAAACATTTTTGTTTTTGTAACATTTTTCTGTTGACCGATTAAAGTCTGGGTCAGGTCAGACATCTGGTTTGTCTTAGTGTTTACATTTACTGATCAACTTTTCTCACTTAAGATTAGTCTTTTTGGGTCGGAGAGATGGCTCAGTGGAATAAGCATTTCCCTGGCAAGCGCAAGGGCCTGAGTTCAATCCCCAGTTCCGGAAAAAAAAAAAAAAAAAAGATTAGTCTTTTTTTTGGTCACTCAACCTGCCCTGAGGGCGGGGCTGGCATAGCATGTGGTGCTGGGGATAGAGCCTTGGTCTCCTGCTCTTGCCTGAGCAGGCTTTTTGGGCTGCTGAGCTATCTCACCAGCCCTAAGATTAGTCTTGTTCATCATATGACGGTATCACCAGTAGAAGCCCAGGTTCCCTACTCAGTATTCTGTTGACACAGAATGGAGAGGGAGTGTCTCCTTGTTACTGATCTGTGGGGGTGAAATTCTTGCTCTCTGCTAGTGCTCCTCTCCCCCCTTGGTTGAGAGGTAAAGGATTGTTTCATTGAGTCCCACATTGCTTTCACGACACAGTGGGGGTAGTAGTATTACCACTGGGCAATGGTGAAAATTGACACTCTACTAGGTGTTCTGTGACACTAACTCACAAAGGAGGGGGAGTGCCTACTCATAATTGCCAGATCAGAGTGAATTTCAGGCTCCCCAGTCTAGAGCAGAGGGTTCAGTGCCTTTTTCAGCTTGGTGAAGGTGGAAGTCTAGGCTTCTTTTATGGCAGAAGGATTTATTTATTTATTTTTGCCCCGAATGCCTTCAGGGCAGGTTTGGCTGGCTTGAGTTGTGGGGATCGAACCACCGCAACCTGAACCTGAGTGCTTTGTTGAAGCAGCCACTTAAAGAACTGAGCTAAGGGGCAGGCCCCCTAGGCTTCTTTTAGAACCTGAAGTCCCAAGCTATTCTGAGAAATGTAGTTTCAGTAATATCTGAAAGTCTTTAAAATTTGTTCCTTCTCTCTGCTCAACTGTAATCCTATATTTATATTGCCACTGCATGCTGACATCAGGTTGATAATCTTTATGACACCTACTGGTGTGTGTGTCATTATAGTATAGCATACAGGAAGAATTGGTAAATATTTTTAGACTTATTTTTGATTGTGACATAAAGAACATGTATAGCTCCATTTATAAAATTAATCATATTTGTGTTACACGATTTTTTCTTTATTATCTGTATAGGTTATATAACACTAACATATAGAAATGAACTAGGTATTCTATTCCTAAGTGCATCATGTGAAGTATTTATAGTTAAAATAAGTTAAACTTCTTGTATAATTAAATGAATTTCTTTTAATATTGAGAGCACACAATAACATATTTCTACAAATTATGCATTATTACATAATCTGACTCAGCCTAATAAGATTCTTGTATAATTTTAAAATACTGATTTATCAGTGCATGTGCTAGTCATATCAACTTGGTAAATTTAAACTTTAACCAGCTCCTGTGTAAGCTAGCATCATGAAGCAACAATAAGCACAAAGGTTAGATTAGTGTTTTTTTGTTTTGTTTTGTTTTCCGGGACCGGGAATTGAACTCAGGCCCTTGGGCTTACTAGGGAAGCACTTATTCCACTGAGTCATCTCCCCAGCCCCATCAACAATAAGCACAAAGGGACATAAAGTTTTATTTTAAAATAAATGAAGGGTTACAGCAATTAACCACTGAGAAGAATGTATGCAGTGTATTATTTGTTGAAACTGTACTTTCGATTTGATTTGAAACTGTCTCATTGCTATATGTTTATCAATAAAACTTTGAAAAGAAAAAAAAAAAGAGGAAAATACCAAAGAGAAAAAAAAAATAAAAAAAATAAAATAAATGAAGGGTGTAGAAATATTGAGGTTACATGCCCCAACTACAAAGTGGATTAGGACTGTTTATACTTTGGGTTTATGGGGAAGCTGGTTACAATCCAGATTATGAAAGCAAGAAAAGATTTCAGAAAAGTCAACCTATTTTATTAATGGTTTTATTTTTATGTTTTTATTTTTGTGCTGGGGTTTGAACGAAGGGCCTGAAGAGAAGCACTCGCTCTACCATTGAACCATACCTCCAGCTATACTGAGGCTTCGGAATCCACAGTATGCATCTGGTATTTTATCTGCTTATGGTATCTAATCTTTAAAATGTTGTTGGGCATGGTGGCGCGTGTCTGTAATTGCAGCACTTGGGAGGCTAAGGCCAGCACCTGAGCACCTGAGCTGCATTATGAGCTCAAGAAGAGCCTGTCTCAAAAAAACAAAAGCAAAAACAAACAAACAAACAAACAAAAAACCAAAAAAGAAACCTTAAGGGGCTATATATAATTTTTCACAGATGAGGGACTAAAGCTCAAAGTGCCTGACTCGGATTTAGAGCCTAGATCTGTATGAGACCACAGCATTTCTCTGATGCTGCTTTGGAAATACTATTCTCTTCTATATGGGTGTTTAATTTTTTTTTTTTTTTTAATGTATTTGGTACAGGGTCTTACTACACAGCTCGAACTTGTAGTGATCTGCCCGTTTTCAGCCTCCCCAATGCTGGGATTACAGGTGTACACCATCACACCCAATCTGAGTGGCTCAGGGTGCCCAGGGGCAGGGTTGGCAAGGCATGTGATCCTAGGGATCAAACCCTGGGTTCTGTGCTTGCCTAAGCAGGCACTTAGTCTGCTGAGCTATTTCGCCAGCCCTAAATGGGCTTTTAGATTCATTTTCATAGAAACAATCATTATAAATTCATTTATTCCATCTCTCCATCTTTCTTTCCAGGGAAAGAGAGAAGCTTTATACTTATTTTTATATGCATTTAACAGACAATAAAGGATTTAAGATCCAATAATTATATAGCGATATAAGGACTGTATAGATAGATATTGTCTGTGCTTCCTTATAGTTGGAATATAGAGCTCTGGCTCAGAAGGTAAAACTTTTTCGCAGGCAATGTGGGCACAACAAGCATCAGAAATCAGGTCTGTTTCACTGCAAGCCTTACCACTCCTGCAGCTACTTGGTGCAATCCTGCTGTTATTACTTAGTAATAGTGGAAATGAAGGTGTTGAGAGCTAGGAAGTTGACAGCTTTATAATTCTTGTAAAAGGCTTGAATCAGAAACCACCTACTTTACGAAGATGGCCAAATACTGGGAGATTGTACCTTTGTTCAAGTACCTCTGTCACACACACACACACACACACACACACACACACACAGGAGGCCAGGGAGAGACTCAAAATCTCCCAAGCTTTGAAGGTCACCATTTGAGACAAAGCATACAATGCATGTGTTAATTTAGCTGTAGAAAATACGCAGCCCCCATACTCATTCATTCAAGCAAAATGGGATGCCACAAAGGATGAGGTGTTTTAGAAAGAGTAATTAAACACGAAGTATAATCCATATAAAACTAGAGTTTGTTCTTCTAGTTACTAGTCTCAGGGGACCAATTTTAAACTGTCCCTGTGCAGAGTCAGTTGGGATTTCCATAGCTTCTCACTGAATACTGTTATCATCTACTGACTCAGCACTGAATTATCTTCCTCATACAGTATTTTGAAATCCAAGTTTGATTATATCCTGCCTGTTGATTACAGGTGGAAATTTACTATGGAAAATACATAAAATACTCTTTATCAAGGAACTCTTACCTTCGTATGTCTATTAATATTTAATTAATATTTTCCCATTCCTGAAGACTGGAGGTGTGCTCTGTAACAGATCTGTAAGAGGTATATCTTACTAAAATTTGTCTTTTCAAAAGAGTATTAGACATGAGGCCTGGTTTTCCCTCCAATTAGAATATAAACTGAACGCCAGACTAATGACTTTATTTGCAAGAGAGAGACGGTCAGAAACACAAAGTGGTACTGCTGTTGAAGGGTTTCTGCATGTAGTGGAGATAGAAAAAAAGGTGTTTTGGGGCTACAAGATGTGGTGAAGATCCTACGTCTTCTCTCAGGCCTGTCCACAAGCAGCCCCCACTCTTCCCTGAAAGCCCTGCTGAGATCAGCCGCAGAACCCAACATTCTGGAGATCCCGCTTAACAATTTTTCATTGCTTTTTCTTATAATACTATAACGAATGACTGCTAAGATGCAAGGCAAGGCAGGTAGCACGGAAATTTGGCCCGAAAGTGCCGCCAACAGACCTTTGGCGGTGGGGAAGTATGATCAGCCAGCCAGACCCCGCGGGCGACTCCTCGTTTCTTCCGGCCTGGGGTGTATGGGCGGGGGTCAAGGGGCTTCACTTTCGGCACTGGTGGGGGGATCTGGACTGCGAAAGTGGCCTGGTCTAGGGCGGCTCCCCGATTACGCTCCTCGAGGAGGACGGTATTTCCAGTGGTGCCAAAAGTCTGAGACTTCTTCGCAGGGCAGAGGTCCGGGACCGTGCAATGCTTCCGGGCGACGCGCCTCGGACCCGGCCCCGAGGAGCTCCGGGTTCCCCGGACTATCAGAGTTGCAGTCTGGCCCGGGCCGAGCCTCGGGCGGGCAAAAGCGATCCAAGACGACCTGGACCGCTGCTCGCGCTCGCCACGGGCGGTGCCGGACCTCGCCCTTCCCCGCCGCCCCCCTCCCCCTCCCGAACCCGCCGCGGATCCTGAGGTGACACGGCCCGGACCCCTCCATTCTCTGCCAGTGTATTTAACTGGCACAACCTAACACGATGCTCCTTGGCGGTGACAACCCTTCCCCCGACAGACGCGCAAAGCAGCCAACCACCGGACAGAATTGGCGTGCGGCCCTCTCCCCAGTGGGTTGCGGCCTCGGTGGGCGGGGCTCTAGTGGCTAGCAAGTTCAGTGGAGCCACGGCTGACGTGAGTCAACAAAGGTCACGTGGGGTGAGTGGGCCGCGCCGATTGGCTCCACTGACCGGGCGGAGGGGGGGGTCACGGCGGCGGCGTGGGGCTCGCTGTGTGACACAATTACAACAACTTTGTGCTGGTGCCGGGGAAGTTTGTGTCTCCAACGAATCCCCCTTTGCTCCCGAGCCCCGCGCGCTCCAGCCATTCCCGCCGTCCCCGCCCGTGGCTGCCCCTTGCCCGCCCCCGCGATGTGACCCTACAGCCGAGCCGCCGCCGCTGCAGACCCAGTGGCTCCGCAGCCTCTGCCACTGTCGCCTTCGCCGCTACCGCGTTGGGGTTTTTCGTCGCCGCTCTTCGCGGCGGAGAAGGTGGCGATAAAGTTGGTGTGCCGGTCCCGTGCGGAGATTGGGGGCGTCGTTGCGTGCCCCGGCCGGGGTGGGGGGGTGTCGGCGTTGGAGTTGTGAATTCGCTGCGTTTCCATGAAATCCTGCGGAGTGTCGCTCGCTACCGCCGCCGCTGCCGCCGCCGCTTTCGGTGATGAGGAAAAGAAAATGGCGGCGGGAAAAGCGAGCGGCGAGAGCGAGGAGGCGTCCCCCAGCCTGACAGCCGAGGAGAGGGAGGCGCTCGGCGGACTGGACAGGTACGGGCCGCCGTCACCCCCCCCGGTAGGCTCCGGACGGGCAGGCGCCGCTCTCCGGGGATGCCCGAGCGCCGCTTGCCTGTGGCGGCTGTGGGGCGGGCACCTCGGCTCGGCGCTCTTGGCGCCGTCGCCGCCACCGGGGCCTCGGGTCCGGGCAGAGACTGCTCGGTGGCGTTCCCGGAGCGTTAATGAGTCGCGTGTGTCTTTCCCCTACAGCCGCCTCTTCGGGTTCGTGAGGTTTCATGAAGATGGCGCCAGGATGAAGGCCCTACTGGGCAAGGTAAGGCAGCCGCGGGCCGGAGCGCGGACCCCGTCTCCCCAGCCGGCGCCACGCTCGTTCCGGGGCCCTCGGCCGGGGCAGTGCTCATTGTGGCCGAGAGCGAAGGTTGCGGGGCTTCCGGAGAACTGTTTCCTCCCTCTGCTCTCCCTGCACTCCGGATACCTCGCTTGCTCCCTTGCGAAATCGCTCTCTCTTCTGAACCTGGAAGAGCGGAGACGGCAGCGCTTTGGGGCCGAGCCCAACTGGGTGGACAGAATTGCCCACTATTTTACAGCTTTGGGGGAGCAGGCCGATGAGCTCCAGGGTGCCTGCTGAGGGTCAAGGGATCGCAGATTTTCTCCAGTTTCCGACTTAGTTCCCTCGTACGGCTTTTATTCTATTCCTTGAGGCAGGCTGTTTGTGATGTCGACTGTTAGCTAACGTTTGGGGCTTTCTTCTGTCCCTGCTCCCGGAAGGGAGAAGTTGCTTGTAGTTTAGGGCCGTGAAGAGTTTGCACCGGGCTGCTGACATGTATCAGGGTTGCTGTGTGTTTTACCTAAAGTTAGGTGACTTGTTTACTTTTTTGGTCTTTCTGCCCTAGAAATACTACAGTTATTTGTGCGTGTGTTTTCTTCCCGGAGCCTTGTTTCCCATGTGTGTGCCACGGGAGGACGGGGAGGATTTGGGGTGTAGTCTCTGTTTATTTGTGTGGAAAGTTGTTGGCACTGTCATTTAGTTAAGTAATGGCTGCTCCTATCGGCCCAAGATGGCGGGACAGGGTGGGAGGAGAAAGTGAAGGGGGGGTTTGGGGGAGGGAGGAGAGGTAAACATGGAAATAAATAGTAGCGATGAATAGGCCCCTCCTTTGGAGTGTGTTCCTCGGTGGTGGTTAATAAAAATTATCCCAGAGGATGTGCGCACAGAATTCCTCTACCTTTTTCTAGCCTGGAAACAACGTGTATCAGCCTGCTAAATGCTTGTCAACCTGTAGCACATTTAGTTACCCATCAGTAAGCTATCGAACAAAAGGCTAGAGCCTCGTTCTGTCTGCATCAGTTTGTATATCCTGACCAAAATCTGACTGAAATGGTATTAGAAGCCTTTCTTAATAGGGACCGTGAAACTTGGAGTGTGTGTGATAGGTGTTGGCATCCATTCGATGTTTGCTTTTTTCTTTTTTGGTCCTGGGAATCGAACTCAGGACCTCGCTCCTAGGAGGCAGGCACTGTGCCACTGAGCTATATCCCCGGCCCTTGACGTTTTCTTTACTAGCTGAAATCTGTAGCTTTGCGTTTGACACATTTTTATTGTTGCACTTGAGAAACAAGTTTGAAGTGATTAAAGCCCAAGCTTTTTTGTTGTTGTATTTCTTTAGTTATCCTTAATTTTTATTTCTCGTTTGGTGTACCGTGTCATTAAATCGTTTTTATCTGTAATTATACTGAGGTTTTTGTTAAAAGTAAGTAACCATAAGGCGTTTTGATTGCAAATAATAACCAAAAAGCTGAATGGAATCTTTTTTGATAATTCCAATCCCTTCGAATACTACTTAAAACTTTGACCACATAGGTATTAATTAATTTCATTAGAAATATCGCTGGAAAAATGAACAGTGACTTGGTAGAAATGATTTAAATATCAGAATTGTAATGCTCCTATCTCGAAATTTTCTCCCTTACCGATGTATTTGAAATATTTTATTTAAAAATACAAGGTTACTGTCAAAATTATCATTCCAAAAAATTAAACAAATGATTTTAGCTTAAAGATCATTTTATTTTGAAAGGAATATTACCAGTTTAACATCAGGTTGGTAAAGTTTTAATAGTTCAAAAGTTTGGCCACATCCTTTTTGGTTATAGTGATGAAGCAATAAGTGGAATCTGATGTTTTATATGCATAATGTGTGAAATGCTAGTTGATGATTTCATATCTTTAGAATGCTTGTATTCAGATTCACAATAGTTGGCGCTTACCACTGGGTTGCGTACTGTAATATTGAACCCTGCAGTTATGAAGAGTTTAAATTTTAAAAGACTGAACACTTTCAAATATTTTTTCTGAGGTTGTGCATTACTTTTTAGATGTTCAAATACAGCAGCCTCTTAAAAATGAGGAAACTGCAGAGCATGGTTATGTTTTGGGGAAGAATTGCGGGTTTATAAAACATGGGGCAATTTGATAACCTAAGTAGTTTTTTGAGCTTAAAAACAGTCTTCATTGCTTTTGACTTCATTGCTTGTGAGGTTGTATCTGCTTATATCAAGACTCATTAGGTTCAGTGTTAAAACGTTCCGCAGTATGTGCTCGAACCCTCATGGAGTTCTTGGTTGCATCTTTGTGAGCCTGAACATAATGGTGGAATGTGTAATGTAAAGCTTGACATTATATAACCTCGCACCTTCTGTTAGAATTGGATTGATTCTGAATAGATTGAATGAGCTAGAGTCCTGCTGTAGGAAGTATTCAATTATTTAGTTTCATTCCTCTTTTTAACAGTCCTGGGAAGCAATTTCTTTTTCTTTTTTCTTTTTTTTTTGGTGGAATGGTGAGCTGTGTTGGTTTCAGAATTCTTTTTCTGTGTCTTAAAAATAAAAGTTGGCATTTCTTTTAAAAAGATGGGTTTCAGCCACTTAACTGAGGACAGGCAATAGAATTGAATAATTCCCCCAAATTCTCATTTTAATTATGATTTTTGTTGTGCTGTTCCCTATACTCCAAAAAGCTTGAGTATGCAGTTTCTGTAACTTTTTTTTTTTCCTTTTGGACAGAAATGTACCTTTTACTGCTTGTTTGCCTAAATTCTTGCTCATTTGTATTCACTTTTCTTTAAAGCTTTTAAATTCACATTGTAGGTTTTGAAAAATAAAACTTTTGACTTAAAAGTTTTGGGAAGCTAAAAGCCTTAAAGCAGTGTCCCCTGCTTGCCCCCATATGTAGTTATACTTTTTTCAGATGTGAGGCTGCTTTCTTTAAACCCTTCTCTTGTGTTGACTACATTAGAGTCATTGGGAGAATTCTTGTTTGTGGGACTGCCATTTGATATATAGTGCTTGGGGTTGTGGACTAAAACAACTAGTAATGTGGTATTTTTATAGTATATCTTTAAAATAAGGCTGTAAAGAGCTAGACTTTGCTTTTTCAGAGGTATTGTAATGTAGTGAATAGTTTGCTCTGTAATGCTGACCCTTAATATTTTGGTAACTTAAGACTTATTTTTTTAATTAGTCAGTTAATAAAAAAATAAGTGAACCATTTTTAGCAGTAGTTGTTTTTAGTACATTTTTGAGAGCCTTTTAAGTTTCTTAAAAAAGGATAAAGATTTGAGTTAAAATATATGTAGCACAAATGTAACAATATAGGTACAATGTTACTACAGAGTATCTTTCAGAGTAACTTGTAACAGTAGAAAGCTAGGGACAGCATCTTCTCTGTCAGGCCAAGAGGGCATCTTATCTGTCAGGGAACTATACTTACAGTTTATTTTAGGCTATTTTATCATTTCTGAGGGTTGTAAGTACTCTGTTTCATTGGATTTTTTTTTTTTTTTTTTTTTTTGGTAATTCTATTAATGGAAAGATTGTGTAGAATTTTTAGAAGTTATGAATTTAAAATGTTTGTGCTTTTTCAAGGAGATATTCATTAAAATAGGGCTTTCAAGTTGGGCAATAATAGAAGTAGTTTAAGATGCATCAAATCCTGTTTTCCTAACTGTGGTTTGCTTGCACATAGGGGAAAATTATTAGATCAGTCCGGGCGGTGGCTTTTTTATACTTTTAATTTTGAATATTGATGATGTTTAAAAACAAATGTTATATGTTTTCTGTTTGCTGGTGCTTGAAGGGATATATTAATTTCCAGTGCTAAAGAAGTTATTTTTTTATTTTTTATTTTTCATTTTTTTGAGGCAGGTCTTGCTCTCCAGTTCAGGCTGTTCTTGAACTCATTATGGAGCCCAGGAACTGGCCTCAAACTCCTGGCCATCCTCCTGTGTGGGCCTCTCGCTGCTGGGATTACAGGCCTGTGCCACAATGCCTGGCTTCTAATGCTAAAGAAGTTTAATGCTCGGATTGGAAAAAGTAACCACAGAGTTAATGTCATGCATTGTGTTTAAAAATCAGGTCTTACCAAAAAATCAAGTCTTTAATTTCATAGGTTTTTAAAAAGTATTCTTCAGGGCTGGAGAGATGGCTCAGTGGTCTAAAGCACCTACTTGGAACAAGCTTGGCAAAGCACAGGGACCACGGTTCGATCCCCCAGCACCGCATGCCAGCCAGCTGCGCCCCCTGGTGGGCTGAGCTGGCCACACACACACACACACACACACACACTAAATAAAAGTATTCTTCAGTTTGGAAAGTTGTCTTCTAAATAGTTATAGTCATTGTTGACTACCTGGACAAAGTTTTATGCAGTTACTATATATTTCTTAAAATTTTAATACATTCCTGCTAATAAAGATACAGTAGTAGGTACACTTATCTGTACAAATTAGAATTGTAACAATGTATAAAGAGGCACTTTGGACTGAATAGTCTTTCTATACAGTCAATTACAAATTGAAATGAGTAGGGAACATTTTACTGATGCTGCTAGATATTTTAGGTTGTTCAAAATTGCTTCAGGACCGGGGAGATATCTCAGCGGCTCAAGTGTAAGGTCTCCAGTTGATCACCAGTACTGAAAACAAAAAAACAAAGAAATAAACAAAACCAAAATTGCTTCAAAAGCTGGGTGCTGTAGCGTATGCCTGTAATCCCTGAACTCTGGAGGCTGAGGCAGGATGAACAACAAGAATTCTAGGCCAGCCTGGGCTACAGAGTAAATTGAAAGATAGTCTAAGCTACATAGCCAGACCCTGGCTCAAAAAAAAAAAAAACAAACCAAAAGTCCCCAACAAGACAAATTTGCTTCAGAGATTTTTTTTTTTTTTTTGTACCATGAATCAAACTTAGGACCTTGCTCTTGCAAGGCAGGCACTTGTGCCACTGAACTATATCCTCAGCCCAGAGACGAGTTTT